CAAATCCAATCACACCAAAGCGGCAGCTGCAGTAGCAAAGCAGCAAAAAAGGAGGGAGGAGAAGCTAGCTGCAGTTGCAAAGCAGCAACACAACGAGGAGGGAGGAGAAACTCAATACAAATCCGATCACACCATAGCAGCAGCTGCAGTAGCCAAGCAGCAAAAAAGGAGGGAGGAGAAGCTCTATACAAATCCAATCACACCAAAGCGCCAGCTGCAGTAGCAAAGCAGTATAGTAAAACGAGGAGGGAGGAGAAGCTAGATACAGATACAATTACACCAAAGCGGCGGCTGCAGTAGCAAAGCAGCAAAATAACGGGGGAGGGAGGAGAAACTCAATACTCGATACAAATCTAATAACTGCCTTCCATCATTTTTCTCAATCCATTGCCCTTCGCGGCGCAACAGCACCACATAATGCCCGCCGTGCCTGTCACCAAAATGGGCCAGGATGGCCACCGCCAGGTATGGACGGTAGCTGAAGTGCAGCTGGGCACCGTCAAAGATCGGTACCTGGATCACCTCTTCAAAATGAATCTCCGGGATCCGCAAGGCCTCATTGTGCACCAAGTAGCCCCTGTCGATGTGAAGGCATTTGAAGGGCGTCGCTGAGACAAAGGCTGTTCGCATGCCTAAGTGATGCAACCAGGAGGCCAAGCAATCCGAGATGTGGAGAGATGCCATGTCAAGTTCAGCTAGACAATTAAAGGTCAGCAGGCAATGCTCTCCGCCTTTTTCGTGGATCTCCACCCGGTCCCCATGGAGCCATCTCTGCTCCCAGGAGTGGCTCAACAAAGGGAATTGGCCCCACTCCAAAACCCTCATGAGAAACTCGGCTGCGCAGCACGGTTGGTTTGGCTGCTCACCCCAATATCGCAGCAGCGGCTCAATGGCCGGCAGTGCGTACAAAGAGATTTCCTCAGCCGGTGTGGCGTCAGCCGGGCCATTCAGCAGCATCCAAAGGAGGCCGGTCAAGGTGGCATTCAAATAGCACCAATCTCCAGGATTCCGGAGGCGAATGCGACAAAGGGCCTCCCTTGCAGCACTTCGGTCAAAAGTCATGGAGGGCTCAGTCAGAAAGAGCGTTTGCCTTTGCCTTTCCCTTTCGCCTTCGGAGCGCGAGAGTTCTTGTGCTCTGATTGCAAGCTCTGATGAATGGTCGTGGCCAGATTGGATCGCTTGGCATTGTGAGGTTGGAACGTCATCTGGAGCAATTGCCACACACTGCTGTACGTGAGCTTGGAGAGCATCTCGTAGAGCGTGGTCTCCCGTAGACCAATCTGAAGCCTGCATGGGATCGCGTCACCCCCCTGCGGAGGTTTGAGAGCTTGCATCCTCAGCACCGATGAAGGAGCACAGAGCAGCTCCCGAGTCTCCTGCAGGGTCTCTTCATTGACAAACCTTTCTTGGTCTGATTGATCTCCAGCTTGCCCTTGCCATGATTCCAAGTCAAGAATGGCCAGGCGCCGTCCTCCAGGATGACCTGAGTGCTCACCGTCTGACTCCAAGCTGGTAAGTTGTGGTCCACGTTGCAGATCTTCTGCGCCCTCTCCAGCAGAGTGTCGCGAAATGGTCCGGGTCAGGATCAGTCGGAGCGGAGTGGAGGGAGGATTGCTGTTCTGCATTTCCAGTGTCCACTTGTTGGTCTCCTGAAGCAGAGTGGGCTGGATGGAGGTGGTCCTTGTGCTTGATGAGGATATTCATCATTGTTTTCAGCAAGTTGCTGAAGTGGGGCTGGCTGAGCTGAACTGCTGAGGAGTCGGTTGCTGTCTCTTCTCTTTGCTGTGGGTTCGTTGCCGCTTGCACCTCCCCTGTTGGTCAGCAGCATTGGTGCCAGGACTCCCATCGTCTCCTGCAGCTGGTACGAAAAGTCCTGGACGTCCATCGGAACCATCTATGTCCCGAACCACGAGGGCAGAGCACAGGGCAGCCAGCTGAGTGACCACTGGACTCTGGACAGTTGTGCTTGAGCAGCTGAAATGATGTCGTGGTGTCAGTGGAGAGTTTCGGCAGCTGAATCCGACAAAGACTGCATGGTGTGACAAATGCAGTTTGAGTCAGGTGTTGCTTGTTCCACATCTCAACAAAATGATGTCCATAGTGCTTGTCAAAGGCATGGTGCAGGACGTGATGTGACAGCATCTCACGCGGCTCAATCTGCTGCGCACAAAAAAGGCATTGGCGACTGAGGAGGTCACACTCAGGTGAAGACTGCAAGATCCCGGACCAGTTCTTGTTCAAGAAGAAGCGCAAGAGGCCTGGTAGAAGGGTACCCAGTTGATCGTGTACAGGTGCAAGGAGTTGAGCTTGGGTGAAGTCACAAGGCATGATGACAGCCCTCTTCAAAGGCATGAAGTTGTAGTAGATCATGGCCAAGTGTTTCCAGCCAACACAGCTATGACCCCGTCTGGCCACCGGAGCTGGATTGCAGATACAAGTGCCCTGCCAGCAGCGCTGCAACATAGTGGCCAGATCCGAGGAGAGGTGCTTGAAGAGACCGGACAATCTGGTAGTCGTGAAAGGACATAGCTGACATTGAAGGCTCAAGCGCATCTTGACCGTGGAGTCCTGCAGGTAGATTGAAATGGTGCCCTCGTTCAAGGCTTGTTGAATTTGGTCCAGGTCATGGTCCCTGCGTGGAGCCCGAGGGAATGGAATAGAAGTCAACCCATGTTGGTGACGTTGATGACAATGGAGATGGTTCTCATCCATGCAGGAAAAGTTGCATAGGTGATGCTGATGCTGCATAAAAGTGGCCTTGGAGGGACCCTGAATTCCTGCTGGCTGACCCGTGTGGTGCAAGGCGTGCAGCTGAATGTTCACTGCTGCGGAGCACAAGTGTCCCCGTCGTCATCGAGGGCGAAGACACAGAAAGCATGGATCCCGTTGCCGCCGGCGCATGAATTCTCGACCCGCTTGGACTGCCCAATCAGCCAAGTGGCTGTGACTGTGTCGTAAATGGGCGGTCAGCTCCTGAGCCCTGGGAACGAAACGTTGGCATAGGATGCACTTGGAGCTCAAAAATCCTCTGAGGTTTTCATCATGAGCAATGTCATCCCAGGAGGCTGCCAGCTTACGTTCTCGAAGTTGCCTCTGAACACGGACCAATTCATCAGCATCGTCCTTGGACGAGTCAAAAACGAGACAGGCACGATTTTGGATATGAGTGCGCAAGTGAGTCCAATCATGAAATTGTTTCAAGCAGTGTGAACAAGTAGGAAGACCTCTCAATGCATCTCTTGCTTGATCAAAGAGAACTGGGTGCTGCAAAAGCACTCTATGGTCCTGCATACGATGTATGGCCAGTTGCGTCCGGCTCAAGAATGCTGCCTGACATTCCGGGCACTGAAAGCTGGAGCGGAGAGAGCTGGTCGTCAGTTCGATTGGTTCAATGTTCCAATGGGCAAGCAGCGCT